TTTATTTTTTTTTTTTTTTTTGGTACCGGGGATTGAACTTGGGTCCTTGTGCTTGCAAGGCAGGCCACCGAACCCCATTTTGATTTTTAAAACATTCACAAAGCCCACATAATCCTTGCATAAGTAGTTGTTACAAGAATCAAACACCAGTGGCTGGAAGCATTGTTCTAAATGCCTTTAAAGGCATATTCTCCCAACTGTTGGACCTTCATGTATATTTGGCTGCAGGTTGGAAGGACGACACATCAAGTTTCCATAATCACGCAGGCATGAGCCATACACAAATGTGTTCTCGCACTGCATATTCTCCCAACTGTTGGACCTTCATGTATATTTGGCTGCAGGTTGGAAGGACGACACATCGTTTCCATAATCACGCAGGCATGAGCCATACACAAATGTGTTCTCGCATGTAATTATAAAGCTATTAATTTATTCTATGCAAACATATATGCTCCACTTCAATTTGTCATCTCCAAAAGCTATCTGAGCCTGTTACAGGTTTTAGATCGCCCAGATTTTAAACCTCCACCTCTCCTAAACCCTTTAGTTCCCACACTACTTTTATGGAAATCTAAGTTTTTGATTTTATTTCAAAAACTTCTCCAGCAGTGCTAGATGATAACTTCTGCCAACTCCCCCTCCCAAAACATCCAGCAGGGTAGTGATACTGAGTTTATGAGTAGCCCAATGGGTCGTCCATACTTTACACCCCTCCTTCAACATAGTCTTTTATTCTGTTAAATGTCTCAGCCCAAACACTTTTTAAAGTGATTGACACTGTCCATAAATCCCAAGTACAGGGCTGGAGATTTAGCTCAGTGATGCCACTGCCTGTCTTCCAACTGCAAGGTGCCGAGTTCAATCCCCAGTACCAAAAAAAAAAAAAAAAAAAACCCAAAACCCAAATATAACAACAAAAAAACTATGGCATTAATAAATCCCAAGTACAGAAATTTCTAGAGCAGACTTTCTCAACTTTTTAAGACTATAAATCCTCCTTTTTGGATAATCAAAGAATCTCCTCATGTTTTGAAAACAGATGTTTTTGTCTTTTCCAGCTTGCTTTTTGAAACCGTAGACTATGATTCCATCCCCCTAGAGACTGACCACAGAAGACCCCATCATTGTGAACCTAAGAAGAGCAGCTGTCCTGGGGGCACAGCTGAAGCCAAGTCCACTGCGCCAACCCTATGCCACACTCTCCAACAGCGAGCTTTCTGAGGGTCCCAACCACAAGGCCCAGAGAGCCATCCCCAACCCTCCGTCTGATTCTTAAAGACAGAACATCCTTGGCAAAAAGGTGAGTTGCTTAATTTTTAAATTAAATAATACACTGGAAGTATAAAAGTTGCCTAGGCACAAACAATGCATATAAAAAGCACTACATATGATTTTTAGCTTTCATGGATCAGTATCCAACATCATAAACTCCAGCATTTTTTATGAATCTATTCCTACATGATTGCAATTCCTGAGGTAAACTGAAGTATCCACTGCCAACATCCTTGACTGTAAACCAAGGCCTTTGGGAAAAGTCAGATGTGTAGATTCCCACATATAATACAATGCAATTCATAACTGTAATCAGATATTGGAGATTTTAAAATGGAGGAGGGCCCTTAAAAGACTGCATCTATAAGTAAAATGTGTAGTTTAAAGTGGTATCGTTAATATTTTTCTGGAGCCAGGAGTATAGCTCAGTAGTACAGCACTTACCTAGTGTGCTCAAGGCCCAGAGTTCAATCCCCAGCAGTACAAAAAATAATAGTAATAATTATTTGCATTTTGATAAAAATTCTAAAATCTGTAAGGAGAAACACTTTCTAGCATCAAAAATTTCCAACTGTCAAAGTCAGCGCAGCCCCAGCACCCTGAAGAGAACCCCGGCTCTCCCTGAGGAAGACATTTCAGCTGCACATGTCAGTTCTCTGGCCCGCGACGCTGCATTCTGAATACCACAGAATCGCCAGTCAACACTGTCTATTACCACGGCTGCTTCTGGGAGGCGACTCTGTGGATGCCACACTATACAGCTTCCCTAATAAATACCAAGAGCATTTAGAGATAGGGCTGGAAAAGCTCTATGTTCAACCCCAAGACCGAAAACTGATGTTTACTCGGCCTTTCAGAGCCTGAGAAGGAAGGGGCCGGCCGCTAGACTGCATCAGTAATTGCACAACCAAGGGCCGTGGGGCGCTTAAACAATGCCATTTATTAAAAGGATCTCTCCGGTGTTTCTCCCCACGCCTGTCCCTCATGTGTAGTTTGCATTCTTCCTAAAATAAACTCTTTGTTTTACTTACAGCAAAATTAAAAGAATGATTTCCCCCTCTACCTTTTAATTAAATCTTCCAGTAGAGGCCAAAATGGTCTAAGGAAAGAAAAAGAACATTGTTACTTAGTTTAAAAGGTCAATTTTAGGTAGTAATTCAGCTATTTCAGCCTAACTATGAAGGGTTAAATGAAAAATAGCTACTTTTAAAATAAATTAAGCTTCACAGGAATTAAGGATTTTCTGGCTATAATGTTCTTTTAACTGCCATTCATTCATTCATTGGTACTGGGAATTGTACTCGGGTTCTTGCGCTTTCCAGGCAGACACCAGAACTACTGAGCTAAATCCCTGGCCCCAACTACCTTTTGAAAACATGAACAAATTTTCCTACAAATTCACATAATTCCAGTTGAAGAAAATTAATGTGCTATGTCAAAGAGCAGAACACATGGATAAAAATCTTTTAGAATATACAAATTACTGAAAAATTCTTATTTTTTCATAAACTTAAAGACCTTTTTAAATATTTCTTAAAAACAGAGTATTTTCTTTCCAGTCACATTCCATAAGGCAGATGACAGTTAGCTTTTATTCACAGATGCAGCAAAACATGGGAGTCTAAATGTTGGCAGAAACTCAAATTTCTATAAAATACAAATAAGTGCATTTTGGTAACACTGAGATAATAAATAAGTTATTCAGTACACATAATGCTGAGATAAAAGAAGCCCCTAACAGATGTGTCATCTCTTCACTGTTGGGAGACGCGAGGCTCTTCGACACTGGTGCTTGTCCCCCTCTCCTTGCCCAGGGGGCCATCTGGAATGAACAGAAACAATGCAGGCGGGTCAATACAGGCAGCCAGGCAGATACACCCACATATATTTTAGGGTTCCTTCTATTTGATGAGTTTTGTAAGTGGTTTAAGGCAATAAATTTTTTTAAAAACCCAACAATTTCTTGAACGCCCTGTAGAAAACCAGAAATACTTAGTACTTACTCTAATTATTTAAGTGTTTGACTTGTTTGTTAAGTGAAGAGAGTGCAGCCTGGAATAAAACCATGTGCACCAAGTTATGAGCCTCTCTGATGTGTAAAGAATGGAATTCACAAAAAGAACAAGGTGTTCACTCTGTATGCTGAGGACTCCAAAGCCCTTCAACTGAAAAACAAAACCCTCAAATCTTTCCCGCAGCACCCTCTTGTGGCAAGAAAAGAAATAGGCCCTTTACATCTGCCAAAATTGTAAAACTATCTGGGGAAATTGGGGGCAATGTTTTGCAAAAGCCAAAAAAAAAAAAGACAAAAACTCCTTAAGAGGTCAGGGAAGCCCAGAACCCGTAACCACTGACAGCACTTTGGCAACGGCAAGGATGGGCACTTCCACTCTGTTTCTTGTCACAGAGTAAAGACTAACGGAGAGAAGTGCTCTAGATTAGAAGAATCCAGAGACAATATTCAAAGGCAACATGAAATGCAAAAACTAGATTCTTGAAGCTAAGTAGGTTCCTCAGCCTCCAAATACTTTTACAAGTGGGAAAAACATGTTTATGTGGCCATTTAGGTAACAAGAGACAAAGAATACAAGTTCAGATAAGTTACTGGAAAAGTTCAATTTTCACACTCAATTTCCTATTCCCTGAGACAATGTGGTGCCCCATGGGGCTCCAGATCCTTGCAGCTCACCAGCCCAAGACTAAGGCCCCTCTCTAGGTCTGGATAACAGATCAAAATCTCTTCCTCCACCAGTCTTGGCAACTTTGCTAACAAAAATTAACAATTCCTTAGAACACAATGATTTTAGGTCTTTTAGAAAAGAGTTATTTCAAATCCTGAAAAAGAAAAACATGAAAAAAGGAAAAAATGGAAACAAAGGCCGGAGATTTAGCTCAGTGGTTCCGCCGCCTGCTTTGCAAGCATAAAGTCCTAAATTCAATCCCCAGTACCAAAAAAAAAAAAGACTATGGAAATAAAGTCTTTATAAATAGGGAAGGGTGGAGGGGTGAGGGGAGGACAGGGGTATGGGGAAAAAATAAGAACCAAGATACATCATGTAAAGGTACAAGATCCCAATTATGAATGTAACTGTACTGTTTGCCTTAAATGTACCAATAAATTTAATGGGAAAATTTAAAATATCTAATCTTTTTGAGTGTGTGGTACTGGAGATCCACCCCAAGGGTGCTCTGCCACTGAACCACACTCCCTGCCTGCACTGCACAGACGGGGCTCCAACCTGCACCTTTGCCTCAGCCTCCACAATGCTGGCATTTCAGTCTGTTACTTTTGTACCTGACAGAGTGCAATAAAGCTGAGCTCCTAAAGATCTTTTCCATTGTAAAAACGAACAAACAAACAAACAAATTCATCTCTTCTTTCCCCTCTTGTACCGTCTGAATTTAAAAAAAAATTAGTAGTAGTACACGTTTGAAGTGCATAACATTTACGCTCCTTGGCACTAGTTCATATACATAGAATGGACCCAACTCCATTTTCATCCCCTCCATCATCTCCTCACCCCCACCCCATTTTTCTGCACTTTGCAGTACATAACATTTACATTCCTTGTGGAGTTGGTACATGCAGAGCAGAAACTAACTTGTCTTCCAAGATGACAAAGCTAACAACAGTAGCAGGACTCATGAATGGCTATTATTTCCAAGGTGGATGGGCCACGATAGAGCATTTTCAGCTTTTTTTCAGCACTTTTAAAGGTTTCATGACAGAAATGTTTGCATTTCAGCATGCTTCAGCTTATTTTCAAATAAAAGCATGCTTCATGTTACTTATTTCATTTTAGTGTCATATGTTGGAGCTGGCTAAGCCTACGCAGAGAGAAGGTGCCATTAAGCTGAATAATCACTCTATTGCAATCACAGCCTTTTTGGTGCTGTCAAAGAATACTTATGAGCTTCAGAAATTAGGTCAAGGAGTAATTAAATGCCATGCCTTTCTGTGTTCCTGAAACACGATGCAAAAATTTAGCTAACGATTCTTTTCAAGTCATTGTACAGAGTCACTGCACTATTATGCTAAGAAAAATTTCGATGATCAAGAAAATAATTTACAGAATCGTTGTTCTCATCCCACCAGTTCAGTGGTCACCTTCATTTCTGGGCTTTCCAAGAACTCAAAACTGCTTTACGGACTTAAAGTCCTCTCTTAGACATCACCAGCACTTTTTATGTCAAGGTGTCTCTGTGTCACTCCCGCCCCTCCGCCCTCTTCTTTCATCCCTGCCCTACCTGTGCTTTAAGGTTACAAGTAGCCAAGCTGTGATTTTTATCTCAGAGAAGAATTTGGGTAAGAAATTATTTCTATGTTTCTTGATATATTAAGGAGACTGATTATAAAAAGCTTAAAAGTCAGAAAAGTTATTTCTCAAGAGGTTATTTTTCTTTATGGGTCTAAAAATCAATGACTTGGGGTTGCTGTGTTAATAAATGTTAACGTGTCACTACTGGTCACAACTGAATATTGCCATGTATTTTTGGTACAGAAACTGCTAAAGCCTTTTTGGAGTACATATATGTACTCTATTTTTAAGTAGGCATTTGTGCCCAGCTAGCTCAGTCAGTAGAGCATGAGACTCTTAAATATGCATTTGCTCTGAACCAGTAGTTCTACTCTGGGCATCCACACAAAAGAAATACTTGTATGCATGCACAGAAACACGCTGTCACATTATAATACTATAAACGCAAAGAGTTAAAACAGTACATCTGTAAAGATGGCAGCAATACCATGGAACACTACACAAAGATCCACACACTGACAAGTTAAAAAAGCAAAATTTGGGATCACACACAACATAATGGTGCACATATACTTAAATACACAGGAATGAGTTCTGCATGATACCTCCCAAAAGGCTGACAGGGTTCCTTCCATAAAAGGAAGGGGGATTGCAGGGTCAGGGAGAGGTGAGTAGGGAAGGGGTTAAAAGGACCTTTCTATTATTTGAAAATTTTTGAGATTTATTCAAGTATTTGAACAATATCTGTTTTATTTTGCTTTTAAAACATTTGACAAATACAAGGCACAGGGATGTGTTCCTTACCAATTCCTGAAAAGAGAACCTGGAAGCATTTTCCATAATCTGAAAAGGAAAAGTATACAGGAATGGCAACTGGATGTGCTGACTGTTAATTGCTATCTGCTACGGGCCTTTTAGTCTTGGTTGTCTCAACTATAAATAAGTGGGAAATTCTTCTTTTTCAGTGTTCCATCCAGCTTGGAACTCTAAGATACACAAAAGGATAATTCCTAGCGAGCTCAGAAATAATCTTCAAAAGAGAGGTTATCCTAGTCACAAATATTTTGTTTTCAGATCTTCAGAGCCACCAAATATCTCATAAGGTCAAATATCAGTCAGAGCAGCTTAGAGAAGCTACAAACAGCAATATACATGTTAGGGGATTACTAAAAATTTATTTCAACATTCAAGAGTTATGATTGTAGGGCTTAGGGTGTAGTCCAGGGGTAGAGCACTTGCCTAGCATGCATGAAGCCCTGGGTTCAATCTCCAATATCACAAAAAGAAGGTAACATTTGTTCTGATAATGGGCCCCTGAGCCCCATTGTAATGATCCCTGGTATAAGAGATGGGCATCTCCCGTGACCAGAAACACTGGGCCATAATCCACTCAACCCAAGGGATCAAACCAAGGTCCTACCACTGATGTGATCAAGATTACTGAAATCACATTTTGAAAGTGAGCTTGCTGAAGCCGGGCATGGTGGCTCATGCCTGTAATCCCAGCACTCAGAAGGCTGAGGCAGGAGGATCACTGTTAGAGTTAGAGACCAGCCTGGGCTACATAGTGAGTCCCAGGTCAGTCTCAACTACATAGTGAGACCCTGTCTCAAAAACAAACAAACAAAAAAAGCGAGCTTGCTGAAAACAAAGTATGGGCTATTCTCCTAAAGATCTATTATTTGTAAATAACTACCATGTCTCCTCCATCTGTATTCGGCATCTTGTCTTTTATTTCTCTGCCTCTGGAAAAAAATGATCTTTTGATTAAAACACTATTGTAGACTGTTAAGGATCATGACTAAAAATTTATGTGAAAATTAGGCTTTTTGATATGTTTATAAAGAAATAATCTCTAAGAATTTTTTTCAGCCATTTATCTGCTGCTTTTAAGATTTTCTTTCCAAAAAGCATTATTTTTGGAGGTTAAGTAACATAGGCTAACTATATTAGATATAAGCAGAATTAAACTCTGACTCAAAAGCTCAGGAAAAGCTCCTCTAAAGACAAAAACATATAGAAAGGAAAATATGCTTGCTGAAGCTAAATGAAGAATCTCAGAAAATTCATACCCGCTTGCTTTCTCCCGTTAGGCTGCCTGCCAAGATTTGGGTTTAGAGGCTGAAGTGAAGATTCTTTCAGGAATGCGTTTTGGATGCCATCCTTGGTGCCATGCAAGAAGTGAGCTAAAATTCCATATAAAAGAGGTCTAAGGCAGGGAGAAAGCAAACAACAAAAAGAGGCAATTAACTTTACATTAAAACAAAATAGCTTAAAACATTTACTCTTTAAAGGTAAGCTCTAATACCAAAATGGCCAAGTGATTCACTCACTAGACTCTAAAAAGTTGATTTACCAAGTTGTAAACTGTTCAGTCTTAAATGTAAGAAGCACCACTTACATGGTGGCACAAGCTTGTAATCCCAGTGCTCTATGAAGCTGAGGCAGGAGGACTGAAAGGTGGAGCTTATAACCTGGGCAACTTAGCAAATTAGCAACCTTATCTCAAAATAAAAATTATGTAAAAGGGTTGAGGTTGTACCTCAGTGAGATGGCCCTGGGATCGATCCATGGTATCAACAAACAAACAAACAAACAAACCATAGAGAAAATACATTAACAACTTAAAATTCATTTAAATTGAAATAGAATTTCAATCATTTTACAGGGACTCAGCTTTTAAACTCCAAGCCCAGGCCAATATTCCCAGTGTCTATCACTGTCAGACATGCAGCAGGTGTTCATCCAGTAAAATACCGCTGATAAAGCACTGCCCAGAGGTGTGCCCCTGTCCTACACGCTACACTGCCTGGGTGAAGACCTGGCTTTGCCACTTGCCAGCTACAAAGCCTTGGGAAGATTCTTAACCTCACTAACCTCAAAATAAATGTTTCCCCTCTATAAATGTAGATGAGCACAGTCCCTATGCCACAAAGTTTTTAGGCAGTAAGTTAATAAATGTCATATTTAGAAATGTCCTATTACATGGTCCAAAAATGATAGCTACCCAAAAGGGAAATATTTGCAAAGCTACTGCACAGCTTACAAAACACTCTTACCTTTCTTTATGCTCAGTGAGTGATGTCATAATCATTACCCCCAATTTACAAATGAGAAAATCAGGGCTCAGGAAAGATTTGTCAGAGCCCTCAGAGGGTTTATGTTTATACCACCAAATGCCATATTCTTTTTCTCATAAATATGCTTCCCAGGCACCCTTGCACAAATGAAAGCTGCTTAGTTGACACTCAGAAGCATCTTCCTTGGTTTCCAATGTCATCAGTGAAGATACAATTATCTAAATTTGTTTTTTGAGATTTTGAGATTAGCTGGTCTGACACCCCATAAACAAAATCTAATGGCCCTTGTTCATGAGCTGAACTTTTTTTTTTTTTGAGCAGGGTCTTAGTATGTAATTCAAGTGGGCCATGAACTCCCTTTGTAGCCCAGGCTGACCTCAAACTTACACAATGACCCTCCTGCCTCAGCCTCCCAAGTGCTAGGATTACAGGTATGTGCCGCCACACCTGGCCCAAACTCACTTCAAGCAAACAGAATAAATATTAACTGACAGTGGCTTCTTCCTTACTTTCTCTCTTGGATCACTGTCTCTGAGGGACGGCAGAAGCCTGAGGTCCCTCACCAGTCCCATGGAGAGGCACATGCCAGGAGGAACTGAGGCCTCCTCAGTAGCACGATGAGACAGCTGTGTGGTAGCAGCTCCACTGGCCCCAGTCAAGTGTGCAGACAGCTGCACCTGGAGAGGGCCCCAAGCCAGACCCACACAGCGGAGCCCATCTCCCAGGTACCCCACCCACGATACAGGCCTGCTGTGCTAAGCCACCAAGTTCTGGGGTAATCTGCTAGGCAGAAAAGGAAATTCCAAAATGATGCCTCAACTCAAAGGAAAGTATCACCTAGGAATATAAAATACATCTTTGCTTACTTTAAATTAACCTTTTTTTCAGTGTCAATTGTTTCAAGATAATTGCTTGATTTTATTTATTTATTTATTTATTTTTTGGTACTGGGGATCGAACTCGGCTCCTTGTGCTTGCAAGGCAGGCAGTGGAACCGTTGAGCTGAACCCCAGCCCAAATGCTTAATTTTAAAATGTTCAACATACAGTGCAATTTACTTAAGTTTTAAAACATTTAAGTTATATATTTTAAATTATTAGAAAATACATAATTAGTACATTTAACCTAAATTTTAAGGATATTAAAGTTTATTTTTTTAAAGTTTTTTTTTTTAAAGGTCATTTAAAGAAAAATACAGCCTACTTAGGCGTGGTGGTACACACCTGTAATCCCAGCACCTGAGAGGCTGAGGCAAGAGGATCACATTGAGTTCAAGGTCAGCCTGGACTACATAGTGAGTTCAAGGCCAGGGACACTCTGTCTCAAAAAAACAAAAAGAAAATAAAAGATAATACAGCCTCACAATACCTTACCTGCAATTCTGAAAAGCAAAACCTTTGAAGACTAGAGTTTTCTTTCTGTATTTGGCACATATTCATTTGGTATGGCGGCACAGCTTGACCTATCGGAGACTCATCTAGGTAGGAAAATCCTTACATTTTACTAAAAAGTATAAATGTGATGACAGAGTGCCACATTAGACCCCTACTGTATACCTGCTATTTGTTGTAGGTGCCACATTACTTTTTAAACCGGAAACCTGGACTTTCAAGGCACATCTGGCCTCAAGTGTTTCTGACAGATCACTGTACGTCTGTACTAATAAAACGAGTAGCAGATGGGTAGAGCAAAGTGTGAATATAATCACTGAAGTCTGAGAAAACAGGTTTTGAAGCCCCCCAACTTCGTGGAAATAAAGCTGTCATCAACTTAATACTGTCACCTACAGCAAATAGTCCAAAGCCACCAAGAAGCCAGTAGGCCTGTGACAAGTGCTCATTCCCAACAACCACTAAATGCAAACCGGTGCCTTCTCTCTGAACAAGGCCACACCTCACAGCTCATCCCAGGCCACAGAATCTGCCAAGCTATTTTTCCAGTCCTCTCAAATATGTACATATGTTTTGCCAAAATTGAGATCTATGCTTTTTAAAGTATTACCCACTTCTTGTTTAATACTTAAATATCTGAATACAGTGAGTAACTGTACCCATGAACATGTACATGAACATCACATATATAAGATGTGAATAACTGCAGCAAAAAAGGATTCTTTTGTCAAATAAGTTTGGAAATCCTAAGTTTTAATGTAGGATTTCCGAGGGTAACTGCTTTAATAGTGTACATTATGAATCTCCAAGAGGGATGTGGTACCGACAGGCTTTCCTTTATGGAATCCCTTTGGTGGTGGACATCTCACCGAACAAGTACAGTATTTCCACAGGTAACACTCTGGAGACAGCTGATTCCCACAAGAAACACTGCAGAAAGCAGCATTCAATAGTCTCATTTCCAGTGCCAACCACAGTGTCTGACACATAGCAAGTACTCACATTTTTTTAAGTGTAATAGCAAAACACTGGAAACAACCTAAATCTCTATTAATAAGACAATGTAAAAATCAATTACAGGACACAAAACACTATAGGACTGTAGAAAAACATGGCTATGCCAGTTAGGAATGGGAATAGGAGAGGTGGTCTTCAAAAGATGTTCCTGACACTATGTAGTTAAAATCTCAAAGACAGTTGGGCGTAGTGGTGCACTTCTGTGATCCCAGCACTTGGGAAGCAGAGGCAGGAGGATCACCGCCAGTTTGAGCTCAGCCTGGGCTACAAAGGGAGATGCTGTCTCAAAAACAAAAAAAACCTCAAAGACAAAGTATAACATTCCAAATCGGAGAGGAAAGAACTGAGATGTCTGTTAATCATTCTGTCCTTCTCTGTATGTCTGAAATAATTCATAACCTTAAAAAGATTAACATGTATAAATGATGGCATGAAAAATAAGTTGTTGAAACACAACCCCTTACGTATGTAAAGAAAACACACACTGATATGCCTTAGATACAGAGTAGCTGGGAGTAGTGGCACATGCCTGGAACACTTGCACTCTAGCAGGCTGAAGCAGAAAGACTGCAAGTGTGAGCCCAGTTTGGGCAACATGGTGACTTTGCAAACCCTGTCTATGAATGAATGAATGAATGCCTGGGTATGCATTTCAGTGTGGGAATCCTAGTACCTCTTCCCCAGAAAAATGTCAAGTTCCTCTTCTTGGCAGATACACTGTTATTACAATGTGTCACTAGTGCATTACCCCCACTGTGCACTTATTCAGACTATTTTCTATTCTAGATTTAATAATGGTGGTTATCTTCCTTGTTAATCAGATTAACACTGCTGCTAGAGACTTTTGCAGTCATTTAATATTAACATGAAGATGTTAAAGAAAAAATAATAGAAAAAAAGAAAATATAAATCAATGGAACCAAGTTAAAAAATGTTTTCCTAGCTGGGCATGATGCTGCCTGCCTGTAATTCCAGCAATCAAGAGGCTGAGGCAGGAGGATCACAGTTTGGGCTAGCTGAGGCTACATAAATTCAAAGTCAGCCTGAATTATAGAACAAGATCCTGTCTAAAAAACAAAAACCAAAAATGTTTTCTTTTTTTTTTTTTAAGTTGAGATCACTTGATTTTATAACAAATTTTCTTGGCTCAATGCAAGAAGCATTTTTTTTTTTTGGTTTTTTTGAGACAGGGTCTCACTATGTAGTTGAAATTGACCTGGAACTCACTATGTAGCCCAGGCTGGTCTCAAACTCACAGCTATCCTCCTGCCTCAGCCTCCTGAGTGCTGGGATTACAGGAGTGCACCACCACGCCTGGCTAAGAAGCATTTTATCTTATTAAAAGCCCTGTGAGACACCATGACATACAAAGCATTTGAGTCTCTTCTCATAGATTCCTGCCTAGTGGGAGAAAAAGCAGACAGTTGACTTTAAGAAAGAATGAAATAAATGTGTAACAAAATCATAATCAAATCTTAAAGAAACAGAAAAACTTTAACTGGAAGAGGAAGATAAAACTATCATAAAAGAGTTAGTGTCTGAGCAGGATCAGTAAGATGAAAGTGCGAGCAAAAGCAAGCAAACATGAAGTTGCAAGGTGTCTGCATGGCATAATGTACAACAATGTGTGAGTAGCGCCAATTAGAGACAAAGGGGGACAGATAGAGGCCTAATAGGCTGTGCAAAGAACTGGGACATGTCACATACGTACAGTGACGTTTTTAAGTAATGCTGTGACTATCTTAGGTAAGCTGGAAAGATAAAACCTAAATTGGAAAAGAAAGTGACTGTTGTGTGTGTGTGGAAATGAAAATAACTATTTGGTTTCTGGCCACACTGAGACAGCAGCAGAAATGTGGGCCCACAACTAGGAAGACTGTGAAGATTTAAAGCAGTCAGACTCAACAATACTCATTCAGAAAAGGAGGTGGGGACAAGGAGAAATGAAAGGGGAGGGCAGTGGGGGTTCTCACAATTTAAGGAACTTAACGCAGTCAACAAAGAGATGGTAAGCACCATTAGGGAGACAGGGAAATAAAGACAGTAAAGAGTCATAAATAAATGACAAAAAGCATTCTAAGGAAGAGGCATCAACATTATGAAATGCTGCAGAAATTCAAGTGAAACTGAGCTTCTCACAATGGAAGCACTCTCACACTACTGTGAGTACTAGGGGCTTGCTGCAAAGCACAGACTAAGGCAGCTGAGACTTGCAGGAGTTAAAGTGAACTGGCACAAAACTTAAAACATTCTATGTTAACACAAACATGTTTATGCCATGAAGGAGAATGAAATGCTCAATCAACTTTCCAAAAGCCTTTAAAGAAATGTCTTGCTAGAGAAGGTGGCTTCGAGCTATGTACTCAGTCCATCTGGGTTGTGGTTGTTGTTGTTTTGTTTTCTCTTGTGCACTCTCAGGTACCTCCGGAAAAGTTCAAGAAACACTGAAGTAGGAAAAGAACTAAGAAACTCGCAGAAAGTAGTCACCCATCTTTTCTAGGTATAGTTTTGGTAAAAATGGCAAGGGGAGAATTGAAGATACAGAGAAGGTAAATAAAGAGATAGCAAAAGGATAGCGAAGAATAGACGCAATATATCTGCAATAAAATAAATAAATAATAAAACAGTGAGAAGTAGCATGAAGTGGGTAGCGGACAGGTTCTTAGGAGATCGCTAAGTTCACTCGTAAGTTGAAGTGAAAGAAGCAGTGAGGAGGAAGAGTCAAGTATGAAGAAGAACACGGGAGGAAAATGACTGGGAAGATAAATGGATCAAGAAGCCAGGAGGAGTTTCCTCAGGAGGAAGCCGCAGGAATCTTAGCTCCAGAGACCCTGTCTGACCTGTTCTAGTGCAGTGCTTGACACACACTTGATCTGAATAAGTACGTGATGAATTAGAATGAAACGTAACCACCACTATGCAATCATAACTCCAGTTCAACCTCTGAAAACCTATTCAGAAAAACTTCTTACATTGTGTTATCTTTTGATTCTTCGAAGGCATTTAGTTCACGGATGAGAAATTGTCTGTCCAGTGGAACTACAGGTTGACCAGACTCTAGGGGGAAAAAATTCATGAGAACACTTGAGTCTATTAATCTAAAAAGCACATATGACTTTGCTAACAACCATACTTACCAGTTATACATATTTTTCAGATTTTCAAAGAATGACCACAGCACACACCCAGCCAGATCCAACTGCATGTTATTTTTTGACTTCGAAAAACCCATTTTGATAAATGCATAGTTCGATTTAGTTTAACATAAATTCGCCTTTTTTTGTTTGTTTCCTGAGCCAGGGTCTCACTATATTGCCCAGGCTGTCCTTGAATTCATGATCCTTCTACCTCAACCTCCGAGGAGCTCGGATCACAGGTGTGTGAGACCATTCCTGGCTCCTAAATTCACCTTTTAAGTCCCCCGATGTTTGGTTGTAAAAATACTGGGCTTTGGTTTGTTTTCTGAAAGGCTTATGAATTAAAAACACAATAGTACTCATCATTTTTAAAAAAGAATATCGATTTAGTGATAGAAATTCTAAAAGTAAAATTAAATTCAATGTAAAATGCTGGTAAGGATGCATGGCAACCAGAACTCTCATACATTGCAGGTAGGAAAGCAAAATGTACAGCCACTTTAGAAAACAGTTGAGCAGTCTTCCAATAAATGTAAGCATACACCAACCTGGCAGTTCCACCATTAGCTATTTAAATATGTACACAAAAATGTGTGTGTACCAGGTTCACGCCTGTGATCTCAGCTTCTTGGAAGGCTGAGGGAAGAGAATCATGAGTTTGAAGCCAGCCTGGGCCACTCAATGAGACCCTGTCTTAAAAATAAATGTAGCTCAGTGTGAGGGTTCTGGGTTCAATTCCTAATTCTGAAAATATGAAGAAGAAGAAGTGGGGTAGGGGGAAGAGTCTCATGCTCTCCAGACTGAGCTAGCCTGGCAACTGCTGAGGAGGAAGAAAAGAAAAAAACTTGTATATAAATATGTACAGTGTCTGGGCATGGTGGCACATGCCTGTAATCCCAGAACTTGGGGGGCTGAGGCAGGAGGATTGTTACAAGTGTGAGGCCAACCTGGCTACATAGTAAATTCAAGGCTAGCCTGAAATGTAAAGCAAGACTCTGTCTCGGAAAAAAAAAAAAAAAAAAAAA